GGGACAAGAAGTAAGGCCAAAAGATTGTTTATGTATGAATGTGTCTGAAAATGTAGGTGGGGACTGGGTTTGATATGGGGGCATATTTGTGTATAAATAGAAGTAATAGTACCAAAGTTTGCCTGGGCTGTTGTTGCTTTCCTCGTCAGGATCACAGTATGTAGTACTTGTAGATAAAACTTCAGAGAAGGAATAACTCTGAAATTAGGGAATCAGAATTTACTCATGTAATTAAAAGGAAAGAAATTGGCAATGAGGATTTAAGCCACATAAAAACGCTATGATCCATTGCTATAATAGCTGTGGCTACTGTACATACTGGCAAGGTTACAGAATAAATTTCATAATAAGTTTGGGTGTTCCCTGTTAGGACTCCTGCATGAAACAGAAAATTGGAAGGAAGGTTACATTTTTATGTAGGATGTGTATTAGATTTTTGGGCTTTAATTAGGCAGACATTCAGCCCAGAATCTTTTGTCCTCTCACCTGCAACATAAAAACAAAAGGTTAAAAATACACAAAACTATAATTTTTCCTGATGTTTTATGTGCACATGAAACTTGGTCTCTTATTAAGGCTTGAACATAGACTGAAGATGTCTGAGGAGAGAAAGTTGAGGGGAACATTTCGACCTAAGAGGGCGAAGTGACAGTAAGATGATTAGAAGCTTCACAGTTTATTATACTGATCAAGTCAAGGATGAGATGGTGTTGTGTGCAGTGTGCATGGAAGAGAGAGACAGAGTTTTTATAGGAACACCTGAAAGAAGGGTACTTCTTGGAAATCTATGTATAGATGGAATGATGATAAAATTGATCTTAAAGAAATAGGCTAAAAGAAGGTAGCCTGGACTAATTTGTCTCAGGACAGGAACCAGTGGCAAGCTCTTGTGACCATGGTAAGGCATTTTCAGGGCATTACTTGAGTAGCTGAGTGATTGCTAGCTTTTGAAGGAAGACTGCTTCCAGGAGATAGGCAGGATGTAGGTCTCTATACAGAGTGACAACTGATGTGGTTATGTTTCAGGGTTTACCAGCATTCTCATGTCGAAGCAGTTTGAAATCTTCAATCTCTCCCACACAGTTGTGTATCAGGATATGATGCAACCCCTCTCGCATTACTACATTTCTTCTTCACACAACACGTGAGTAATCACTTGGCACCATGTAACCTTTGTAGTGGAAACAGCATCCTCAGACAGCACTGTAATGCTGCAATCTGTGTGTAGTACACCATTCCTCATGTCATGTGTGTACCTTGCCTAAAGCCGTAGAACTAATTATCGTTGTTTCTGTCATTACTGTGACTTCTCTTGGGTTTGGTTCCAGGTGACTTCATATGAGATTCATGGGGGACAAGTTGACATTAGAACAGGATTTTATCCTAGTTTGATTTACCCCTGCTAATCCTCATTCTACCATTGCTCCAGACTCATCTGTCACCACCCCCCAAGATGTACAGTAGCTGTAACCGGGCAACACACTCTTACATCTCGGTTTTTGTGTTTGGGGTTTTATCTCTGTCCTCACCCTTGGTTGGTCATGAAGTGAGGAATGTAATGTAACTACCCTGACCATGATGCAATGCGATGNATAATATATTCTTGTGTTGAGCTATATAAGTTTCTAAGTATTGTGTCTAGTTTTGTTATGAATGTATCAATATTACCAGTTGGAGCTCTGTATACAGTGATTATGCAGAATCTTTTGGATCTTAGGTTGAGCTTGACAGCGCATACCTCAAAGTCTTTATCAATACAATCTTTTGTTAATTTTATATTTACAAAGTTTAGGCTTGTATGTAAGTAAATGCATACTCCTCCTTTTTCATACAAAGTTCTACAGTAGTTTGCTGCTAGTTTATAAGAGTCTATATTTAGTTGTTGCAGTTCCAAGGGATTCATATGATGTTCTGTAAAGCATAGTATATGAGGGAAAACTGGATGTAAATGACTTAATAGTTCTAGAAACCTAATTATACTTTCATAATTTCTATTATTATTGCTATATGTGTTTGGGTGTCGACAGACCCAGTTATGCAAAACTCATTAACAATTTGATGACTTATAACTTGTCTAGAACCTTGTTATAAGGAAATTTTGCCATGTCTGCATTCTTCTGGTGTTTAAATGTGCCTGTTTTTAAATCATATTCAACAATGAAAACAGTTTAGTCAGTGCAGTATAGCATTTTGACCAAGCATAATTTGTCACCTTGTTGATTTAAAAATAAATACATTTTTGCTTTTCATAACAGATATCACTCTATTTATAGGATATGTTTAGCAGTAAAAATAATGGGATCCTTCAGCGAAATATTATCGCATTGCCAGATTATAGTTGCGTAAACAACAGCGGAAGATGCCTTTACAGAATGTGTGTTCCATCACCTTATATATACTGATTGATGTTAGTGAGAATAATTCCAATGAAGTGGTTACCATCCCTTGCTTTTCCCAGATCAGTGATGCTTATTCTGGACAATATTTTTCTTTCAGTGGATTGCTGGGATGGACCAGACGGTGATCCCCTTATTTACCATGGCTACACCTTGACAACTCAAATACTGTTCCGAGATGTTCTGGTTGATGCCATCAAACCATATGCTTTCTACGCATCAGAGTACCCTGTCATCCTGTCACTCGAAAATCACTGTAGTGAGCGGCAGCAGGAAACACTGGCAAGGCACTTGCGAGATGTTCTTGGAGGTGAGCCCTTCCTTTCTGAAAGCACACTCAGAATTACTGGGCTTTTGGACGTCATCCATCTTCTAGTATTCCAAAAACTAGAGAATGTAACATTCCAGAAACTGAATCCGGTTTCTGAAACAGTGTGTTCTCTAGTTTTTTTACAAAACTGGATGTTGGACAGATTCCAGAAACCCAGTAATTCTGAATGTTATACACCATCATCAGGACCCTTCAGGATCTACATGAATTAAGTGGTTTCATATATGGTAGTGCACCTGTATTTTTTTAGAGGTAGCAGCTTCGAAACTTTGCAAGACACTAGCTGTCATCACAGCATAATCATTTATTTTGTTGCTATGTTATGACAGTGGACTTGTTTCATTTAGACATGCTGTACACAGAGTCTGTCAAGGAGGACATGGAGTTCCTGCCATCCCCTGAAGCTCTCAAAAGAAAGATCATTGTGAAAGCAAAGAAGAAAGCCCCAGCTGAGAAAGCAAATGAAAGCGAATCAGAGGAGGAAGAGGAAGCAGAGAAAATAGCAGTCGAGCTGAAGGCAGATATTCAACAGGTCAGAGATTTGAGGTTATGACAACAGTGATTCTGGAGATAGTGTCTTCTGAAATGGTTGGGTGTGAGACTCCATAATCTGTGCCTTGCTGTCAGATTACATGGCATCTCATTCCTAAAGTCCATAGCTTAAACCTTTAATTTAAGTTGTTTTTTCCAAAGTGAAGGACTGAGTTTCATGCCCATGCAAAACAAATGCTGAAAATTGTTTTTTTATTGAACTTGAATGAATATGTTATCACTGTGGCTTTGATGTAACTGAAACCTTTGAAGGTACTGCAGACAGGGTCTCAGATTGTGATGTGTTACTTGTGCACACATGGATTAGATGCAGTATATAAAGAAGTACTGAAATAATTGCATAACATGTTTATGTTCCAGAATAAGAAGGTTGTTGCCGAGGGACTGTCCAGTCTGGTCAACATCTGCCAGGCTGTTCACTTCCATGGGTTTGAGGAAGCCAAAGTCAGTGGTTAGTATGGTGCATGATGTCCATGTCTGTTCCATTTTAACCCTTTAAAGCGCAGTGGTAACTATATATGCCACCTACTTTAACAACAAAACAATTCTGAATTTGGCCCACACAGTGTGTTTCATATGATTCTCACAGCGAACAGCTGTTGTTTCCTCAAACAGCGATAACCAGTTGATCTTTCTTATGGAGGCAGAGATAGAAACTGAATTGTTAGCGTACGTTCCTTATTTTGAAAATATAAAAGGAGGCTTGTGAGATCATCTTGCTGTCCATCTGTCTGTATATCTATCCATGTCTTTGTATCCCCCCTAAATTTTTGTTATGAACCTTATGAGGTCACCTTGCTGTCCATTTGTCTGTCTACATGTATGAGTGTCCCCCCTCGCCCCCAATTTTTTGGTTCCCTGTGTGGTCCGTCTTGTATCAAAGGAAAGCAGATGATTAGTTCTCCCCAGAAATTCTTTGGATAAATGTCGGGCTTCAGACAGTTAAGTGAGCGCTGCACAAATGTTTGTGGTGTAAAGAGTAGGTTATGCCTGTGCCATGGCATACATGCATGTAGATAGAGTGAGGAGGTAAAGCTGCATGCATTCTACATTTTGATACTGAATGGTGATGAAGGGTGAGCATCCCACTGTACACATTGAAGCCAGTTTCATGTACGTTTGATTGCGTACAACAGGATATTATTTCTTTGGGATGTTGGTATCTACCTGCCAGATTACACAGTGTCATAGCTGATAGTTCCACTTTGTTGTTTTAGGCAAGTGCTACCAGATGTCCTCGTTCTGTGAAACAAAAGCTGAGGATCTCATAGAGAAGAGTGCCAGGGACTTCGTGGCATACAACACACGGCAACTGAGCAGAATCTACCCTTCAGGGACACGAACTGGATCCTCCAACTACAAACCCACCCCTTTCTGGAATGTGGGTTGTCAGATAGGTATGTCAAATTTAAACTCTTAGCACTGAGACAGTTCAACATCCACATCAGTAATGCAGCAAAGATTTCAGAATAATTGTGGCTTATAAATCTGTTGTTATATTGTGGGACCTGAGATTGTGAAAGATCCCACCTGCAGAAGGTGTGAAAAAAGATACTGTGAGATTTACTTGTTTATGATTTGGAATTTCTATAATCTGCAGTACATTGAGGACTGACGTGACTGTGTTATTGTTTCATTTCACATGTGTACTATGACTATTATCATCTTGTAGTTGCCCTCAACTACCAGAGCTCCCAGAGACCAATATTTCTGAATGAATCCAAATTCCGACAAAACGGTGGTTGTGGCTATGTCTTGAAGCCCAAGTTTCTCTGCGGAACAGGTGATTATGATCCGGATGCAGTGATGGCTCACAGGTGAGATCAATGATCTATGTAGTACATGTTGGAAACTTTGCTGATCATTTTCAGANAATAATTGTGGCTTATAAATCTGTTGTTATATTGTGGGACCTGAGACTGTGAAAGATCCCACCTGCAGAAGGTGTGAAAAAAATATACTGTGAGATTTACTTGTTTATGATTTGGAATTTCTATAATCTGCAGTACATTGAGGACTGACGTGACTGTGTTATTGTTTCATTTCACATGTGTACTATGACTATTATCATCTTGTAGTTGCCCTCAACTACCAGAGCTCCCAGAGACCAATATTTCTGAATGAATCCAAATTCCGACAAAACGGTGGTTGTGGCTATGTCTTGAAGCCCAAGTTTCTCTGCGGAACAGGTGATTATGATCCGGATGCAGTGATGGCTCACAGGTGAGATCAATGATCTATGTAGTACATGTTGGAAACTTTGCTGATCATTTTCAGATCTTCTGTGAAAAGTTTGTGATGTACATTTGTATGTGACAAGTTCTCTTGAAGTGTGGGATTTAGTATTTACTGCTGTATTGTTGTTGATTTATTTAATAAAAGTCAGTATCTCAGTATCTCAGACCATATAGCATAAACCTGCCAAGGCCCATCTCAGAAATGAAGCTCCCAACTTAAAGAATGCTGCACATCTTAGGGTGTGGTTATTGAAATGGAGTGATGGTGGAATGTTGATTAGTGGGGGGAAATTGAAGAAACTTTGAGAGAAACTTCATCCAGTGTCACTTTGTTTACCATAAATCTCGTAGGAAGTCACCTAGGACTGAACCCAAGACTCCAAGATGACAAGTCAGTGTCTGACCACCTGAGCTATGACAGACTTACAGATGCACACACAGTGAATAATAAAATCCCCCAAATTGTTTATTAATCCTCAAAATTATTAAAGCCAAAAATAAATACGTATAAAATTTCTTTCAGTGACATTGTTGTATGTCACAGATGTGTAGAACAGGTATAGACTTATGGGTGAGTTCTTTTGTTTATAATAGGAAATGAGTTAACTGAATTTACCTCCAAGATAGAATAATGTGAAACAATAAATGTATGTATTCTGTGGGAAACTACATTCAAAGTACACACTTGAAAAACTGAGATAGAGATATTGATTATAATGTGAATTATAAGGAAATAGGTTCTGGAAATGTGGAATGATTTCAGTCCTTTTCACTCCATGAGCCAATTCAATTAGTGCAGTCTACATTAAAACTGTCATAACTGAAGAGATCAATTAATCACTTAGTAAGCATTTCTGTCAGTCAGTGGCATCAAGTGTGATATTCAAATGTTTAGAGGAAAGAACAGGTTTTCACCCCAAGGTAATCTGGGCAAGTACTGTGATATTTCTGTGCAACTGCATTTCCCCAAGCAATGTTAGAGTTTCTGGCAGGCAATTCTATGCTGTGCCTTGCTAGTCAAAAGGTTAAATGACTTGGGATAGGGTCTATGTGACAGATTATTGACTTGTTCATGATTTTTAGGGTCTTTGGGTTTTGCTACCAAATGGCAGGTGGCAACTCAGTCCTGTTACTCAGACTGTAAGTCAGCTGATGGATCAATGAATTAGTCAGTCGACCAAGCAGTCATGTGTGAGTGAGCTGATCAGTAAATAAGGAATGAGTGAGTGAATTATTCAGTGCATTTGTGTGTCAGTGAGTGAGTTCTTGATTGGCACTTATAGTGTTACAATGAGGAGGATATCCTTGCAGCTGCACCTTGCCATTATAGTGGATAGTATGTGACTCATTTTGGCCAATTGAGTTAACATAGTGCTAGACAAATGGACTGACAGTCCTCTGCCCATAGTTGGTACACCTGTGCCTAATCTGACCTGATAGGTTGGAAGCATCTGAACAAGGAGCTGGGCGAATGTCTTCCCAGAAATCTGTCTCAAGATCTGTAGCCATAAGGATGTGGCATCGGGCAAGGAATATTCTTTTCGTCAAAAGACTGAGGAGACTAGACGTCCCACAGAAGATGATGTTGGAGCAAGAGTGAGAATTCTGCCATGGCATGGCATGTGTAAATGCTGCATGGCATATCAGCCATATTCTTTGTGCAGGGTGGAACATGAGAAGCATTATGGGTGTTGCTACTTGATTCTTTGAAAAGGCAGATAGCACAGTGGTAACTGTATGTACCACTTGCTGTAACATTTAAAAATCCTTGAATTTTGCCTGCAGAGTGTATTTGTGTGTTCTGTATGGTTCTCACAATAAACAGCATTAACCGGTTGAGCTTTGTAGCAGAGATGGAATATATTTCCTTTGAAGCACAGACTGAGTTTTCTGCCCACAGAGTGTATTTGTGTGTTCCATACGGTTCTCACAATAAACAGCGACTGTTTCCCTAAACAGCGTTAACCGGTTGGTCTTTGTAGCAGAGATGTAATGTGCTTCCTGTGAGGTACAGACTGAATTTTCTGCCCACAGAGTGTATTTGTGTGTTCCGTATGGTTCTCACAATAAACAGTGACTGTTTCCCTAAACAGCATTAACTAGTTGGGCTTTGTAGCGGAGACATAATATGTTTCCTGGGAGGTAGAATCTGGATTTTCAAATATTATTTAGTTGGAGTTCAGTCTTCAAAGAGTTATCACGTTACCATTCCATCCATTTGAGGATTGTGGAAAAGTAAGGAAAGCAGCTTCTTCTCTGGATCTCCATTAGAAAAGTGCTTTTGTCTGTCCCCTTGTCTACTGATGTGCATGAACATGCACTTACTGGCCAATATTTGTGAAATTTGGTATTAGAGGTGTATTGGTATTGGAGATAATATAATTTCCATCTGTGTGCTCTTATTATGTTTGAAGACCCTGCGAGCTACATGTGTCTTATAATCATTAAGATTACTCTCTTTTGTGATGTGACGCCATGCAGTCTGTTATACAGGCATGAGCATTTCAGAGGAAAGTGCTTCTTCCATCTTCAGGCTGAAAGTCTTGTATAACGAGACAGAGGACAGCAGTCTCTATAGTCCTTATGTGAGAACCTAACTCATTACAGCCTCGAGTTACACAGACAGTGGGGGAACTACACTGCATACAGACATTTTCTGGAGAGGCTAGAGTCGATATTGCCATCTGAATCCCTTTTAAGTTTCTGGTGATGTATTTTTCCTATAAATGTGCAACTGTTGTAAGTTCTCTGGTGTTAGGAAAGTGAGAATAATATTAAACTGTGCCCAAGGGAATTTGGTTCCAAGGATGCAGACCATATTTATACAGTTTGAGGTCTTCATGCTCTGAAGATTCAGACTGTGGTCTTCTGAGTTATCATACCGTGAAGTCTGGTAGATGGGCACCAACGTTTCAGAAGAACATACTGCCACCATCTTCAGAGTTGAAGTGATTTGACTGCAGGACTGATGGCTGCACTATGTCCCACTGAAATGTCTGTGCCTGCCTACAAGACTGTACAGTGTCATAGCCCAGGTTACAATCCAAATCAAATTTGATTTAATTGAGTCAGAGTTATGCCCTTTTACTGGTTTTGTTATCAGATGTGCTGAACCTTTGGGGTCTGTTGCAGGAGAGTATGAGAAGTAATGCTTCATAACGCTAAAATGAACCATGCTGATTGCTTTAAAATGCTTCTTGTGTCCCATTGTGAATGAGAAGCCTTTTTGTTGCTTGACTTATGAACAGTTCTGTTGTGCCATAGTTGCTTAAGAGATGTGTTGATGACATACAAATATCTGCACATCATGTTACAAGCTTGACAACTCTGCTAGTTGTGTGACTTCACATTTTCTAATAGCACAAAACTGTTGCAAGCACATGTATCAGGATGTGCACTCCACTCAGACTCACACAGCTGTGCACATGAGGACATCTAGTGATATTTGTATGTTTGAATTGTGCTGTACATAAACATGAAGGAATCTATGGATATTGCGAAAGCTCCACAAGAAGACAAAAGGAAAATATTTTTATGTCTGCTGTGTTGCCAGTAGTTTGCTATTCAGGAAATCATCACTTGTATATATAAATGTAATTACTCTGTTTCCTGTTTCCAACTGTGAACCTAACAGAGGAAACCCAAAAGATATTATGATATTCAATTCATACTCTTGCCAGCATGTATGGTAGTTACAGCTGTTATAGCAATGTGCAAGTATTGTGGTACAGCTTTTTGGGCATGATTTGAACATTCATCCCAGCCCATGCTTTCCTTCAATTGCATGAGTTAACTTTAAAATGTTGATTTGAGCGTTGTCCCTTCTTTGCAGTTTTCTCTGCAACTTATTGTGATATTGACAGGGAAGGTTATCATATCCTGGATGAGGAATGGATGGGCCTGCCTCTGCTTGTTCTGAATGTTTATGTGTTTCAGATTATTTGACTGCAAAACAGAGAAAGACTTTAGTACTTCTGATACCAGTTGATTTTATTATTGTGGCTTTGCTTCCTAAGTTAAGTGATGTTGCTTTCTCTTTTGAGATTTTGAGCGTTTACATGCTGGAAATTTGAACCTAACAGAATGTATCAGACTGTTGCTGACAGTAGATGTGTTATTTTGCCTAGAAACATTATTAGACTCCCCTCATGCTTAATTTATATTTGACTGGAATATTTTTTAATTGAACTAAATGTGTCAGTCATTGAATTAGTAATGCAACCAGTCACTTGAACAGTGACTAAGTCAAATAGTCAATGAAACAATAGTCTATTTGTTGGCAGTCCATTTTATCTATTGTTCAGTCCAGTAATGGTTAGTACATAGTAATTTAGAGACACTAATAATCAACCATTCAGTGGTTGAATTAGTTAATTAATTACCCATTCAGTCTGCCAGTGCAAAGTTTCGTGCTTACAGTAAACTCAATTTGTCACTCATTTTGTTCATGTGTTCTGATACAGCTTGTCTCTGTGCAGGGCCTCGACACAGCTCAAATTGATTATCATTAGTGGACAGCACATTCCGAAAGCGAATCAGGACTTGCAGGGCGAAGTTGTTGACCCATATGTTGTGGTGAAGATTGTGGGCCACCCTGCAGATGCACAGAAAAAGAAAACTGATATTGTCAGGAATAATGGTGAGATGACTTCTGTGAGGCATGCATGACTTGTGTGAGTCCAGGTTATGTGAGCCACGAGTTGTGCAAGACATGGGGTATTAGAGTCAGGGGATTTTTGGGTCATGGTATCTCTGTACAGCTCAGGTTATACTGATACTTTGGCATCCTGGTGAGCTGCATGCTTCATTTGCAAATTTTGCAACTGGGAGGTGGCTACTCTGACAGTTGGTTAATGGCCCCACCAGGAAAAGTGTGCCACATTACCCTGAAATTGGCTCTGAATGTGGCTTAGGAGAGATAAATAAGAATCTTGTTTTTTTTTTTCTGAATTCTCAATATGTTGCCAGCCGGATAGGTTAGATCATGAGTGATAAGCTTGGAGCTACTATGAAAAGGAAGGTGTGATGGCCTGTTTTGAAGTCCATCCCAGAATTTGCTTGGAGGACTGAACAGAGTATAATAAATCTCTGTCAAGATGGCTGCCCTGTAGGTTGATACTTGGAACATTGTAAGAATGCTTAAATATCTGCTAAGATGCTATGTGATCATTCCTGGTGGTGATCAGGAAGGGTGATAATGATTGTTGTTAATATATACCATTGGCTGTTGAGGTTTAACCATGTTATGATTCATGCCTCCCTTGTTTTGGCATACATTGCAGGTGCAATCTTCAGTTTGAATATGGCAGGATGAGTA